AAGCTTGGTTTGGCTGGATATGAAATTCTGGGTTGAAAATTCTTTTCTTTAAGAATGTTGAATATTGGCCCCCACTCTCTTCTGGCTTGTAGGGTTTCTGCTGAGAGATCAACTGTTAGTCTGATGGACTTCCCATTGTGGGTAACCTGATGTTTCTCTCTGGCTGCCCTTAACATTTTTTCCTTCATTTCAACGTTGGAAAATGTGATGATTATGTGTCTTGGGGTTTCTCGTCTCGAGGAGTATCTTTGTGGTGTTCTCTGTATTTTCTGAATTTGAATGTTGGCCTGTCTTGCTAGGTTGGGGACGTTTTCCTGGGTAATATGCTGAAGAGTGTTTTCTATCTTGGTTCCATTTTCCTTGTCACTTTCAGGTACACCAATCAAACGTAGATTTGGTCTTTTCAGAGTCCCATATTTCTTGGGGCTTTGTTCGTTTCTTTTCAGTCTTTTTTCTCTAATCTTGTCTTCTCACTTTATTTCATTGAGTTGATCTTCAATCTCTGATATCCTTTCTTCCACTTGATCGATTGGGCTTCACAAAGTTCTCGTCCTGTGTTTTTCAGCTCCATCAGGTCATTTATGTTCTTCTCTAAACTGGTTATTCTGGTTAGCAGTTTGTCTGACCTTTTCTCAAGGTTCTTATCTTCCATGCATTGGGTTAGAATATCCTCCTTTAGCTCGGTGGAGTTTGTTATTACCCACCTTCTGAAGCCTACTTCTGTCAACTCGTCAAACTCATTCTCCATCCAGTTTTGTTCCCTTGCTGGCGAGGAATTGTGATCCTTTGGAGGAGAAGAGATGTTCTGGTTTTTGGAATTTTCAGCCTTTTTGTATTGGTTTCTCCCCATCTTCATAGATTTATCTACCTTTGATCTTTGAAGTTGGTGACCTTCAGATGGGGTCTCTGAGTGGACGTCTTTTTTGTTGATGTTGATACTATTCCTCTGTGTTTGTTAGTTTTCCTTTTAACAGCCAGTCCCCTCTGCTGCAGGTATGCTGGAGTTTGCTGGAGTTCTACTCAGAACCTGTTTGCTTGGGTATCACCAGCGGTGGCTGCAGAACAGCAAAGATTGCTGCCTGTTCTTTCCTCTGGAAGCTTCCTCCCAGAGGGGCACCTGCTGGATGCCAGCCAGAGCTTTCCTGTATGAGGTGTCTGTTGGCCCCTACTGGGAGGTGTCTCCCAGTCAGGATACATGGGGGTCATGGACCCACTTGAGAAGGCAGGCTGTCCCTTATCAGAGCTTGAACGCTATGCTGGTAGATCTGCTGCTCTCTTCAGAGCTTGCAGGTAGGGACATTTTAGTCTGCTGAAGCTGCACTCACAACCACCCCTTCTCCAACGTGCTTTGTCCCAGGGAGGTGGGGGTTTTATCTATAAGTGGGGGGTTTTATCTATAAGACTGGGGCTGCTGCCTTATTTTCAGAGATGCCCTGCTCAGAGAGGAGGGAATCTAGAGAGGCAGTCTGGCTGCAGTGGCCTTGCTGAGCTGCGGTGGGCTCCGCCCAGTTCAGACTTCTGGGCGACTTTGTTTACACTGTGAAGGTAAAACTGCCTGCCTAAGCCTCAGCAATGGTGGATGCCCTTACCCCCAACAAGCTGGAGCATCCCAGGTCGAGCTCATACTGCTGTGCTGGCACAAGAATTTCAAGCTAGTGGATCTCAGCTTGCTGGGCTCCGTGAGGGTGGAACCTGCTGAGCCAGACCACTTGGCTCCCTGGCTTCAGCCCCCTTTCCAGGGGAGTGAACAGTTGTGTCTCGCTGGCATTCCAGGCACCACTGGGGGTATTAGAAAAAATCTCCTGTGGCTAGCTCGGTGTCTGCCCAAATGGCCACCAGTTTTGTGCTGTAAACTCAGGGCCCTGGTGGTATAGGGTGTAGGCACTGGAGGGAATCTCCTGGTCTGCAGGTTGTGAAGAACATGGGAAAAGCACAGTGTCTGGGCCTGAGTGCATGGTACAGTCCCTAATGGCTTTCCTTGGCTAGGAGAGGGAGTTCCCCAACCCCTTGCACTTTGCTGGTGAGGTGACACCCCATCCTGCTTCTGTTCCCCCAGCTTGGACTGCACCCACTGTCCAACCAGTCCCAGTGAAATGACTCAGGTACGTAAGTTGGAAATGCAGAAATTACCTGCCTTCTGCATGGATCTCAGTGGGAGCTGCAGACCGGAGCTGTTCCTGTTCGGCCACCTTGCCAGCAAAAATACCATGATTTCTTTCTTATCTGAAAATGACATTATTTTGTCCTCATTCTGGTTGAAGATTATTTCCTCTCAACATTTTAAAGCTCTTATTTCCCTGTCTTCTCACTTGCTTCATTATTGATGGGTTAGATTTTGTTTGATTTTCATTCCTTTGAGGTTCATCTGTCTTTTCATTTTGGTTGCATTTTTCTCTTTGATTTTGGTATTCCATAATTTCGTAATGTGTTTAGGTATAGATTTATTTTTTATATTGCTCAGAATTTACTGAACTTCATGATTTTGAACATTTTTATCTATAATCAATTCTGCAACAGTCTCAAATATTCTCCCTTTGAGCATTACCTCTCCCCCACTCTTTTTCTGTCACTGATTTCAATACATTGACTCTCATTCCTATTCTTCATATTTTCCATTTCTTGATCTCTCTGTGCTGTAGTCTGCTTTATTACCTTGTATTCCAGTTCATCATTCTCTTTCTATTAGATATGCCTAATTGCTTGTTTGCCTTTCACACTGAATTTTTAATTTTATGACTATTATTTATTATATGTAGAAGTTCTATTCAGTTTTTAAAAAATCCACCTGCTGGGTAGATTTGCTGGGTGCAGTGGCATGTGCCTATAGTCCCAGCGACTTGAAAGGCTGAGGCAGGAGGATCATGTAAGCCCAGAGTTTCAGGCTATAGTGCACCATGATCGTGCCCATGGATAGCCACTGTACTCCAGTCTGGGCAACATAGTAAGACTCTCTCAAAAAAAAAAAAAACATGAAAACAAAAACTACCTGCATTTTCATAGAGTATTGCCTTTGTTATATGTTTTTCTCTAATCATTTAAAAAATACTTATTTTAAAGTGTCTACTAACAATTTTCATCTTATGAAGTCTTGGGTATATAATTCTTCGTTTCTTGACAGCTCATTTTTGCTGTTAGTGGATTCTTTCACTAAATGTTCTGTAGTTTTGGACTGTGAGTCTTTCTTCAGTGCAGTTTTATATGTGTGAACTGTGCACAGCCTAGGTTGAGTGCACGGCCCCCTAAAGAATTTTATATTAATTTCAGCCAGGTGCCCCAAGAATATCACTAGCCAGGGACATATTCTCACGTTAAACTTCGAGCTTGTGGATTCCCAGATCATGAGGGCAGGGTAAGTTTGCACTCTAAATTTGTGTAATATAATTAGGAATTCTCAAGGAAGAACTCCTATACCCCACGCCACTGTCTAAATGGAGAAGAGTTGGCATCCTAACAATCTCCCTGTGCTGAAGGAAGATTTTTATTTTTATTTTATTGTCTGGATTTACCCTTTTAGTAAAAATGTAGCTCTTCAAGAGTCTTGGATTTATTTATGAAGTCTCTGTTCTATCCTCCCCACCCCTTGGCAGGCTCTTTCCTGATCCCTTTATGGTTTAAGAGCCTAAGCCCCCAGATTACCAAGACTGACAACCTCCCTCCAGGTAGCTATAGCGTCAGCTTGTGTACTTATATCTCTGCTTTTCAGTTCTCTTTTTCAAAGCAGAGGAGGGGTTTCAGAGGGTAGCTGGACATTTCCCTTACTTTCTTACCAGCTTAGGTATTCATTTACAATAAAGGTCGTCAAATTTCACCAAGAATTTTTAAATGTTTTGTCTTGTGTATGTGTACACATGTGTATGGGGGAATGGGGCAGCGTTGAGATAATTCATTTTGCCACATAGAATACCTTCATATTCTCAAGCATATATATCTTGCCATGTTTATTTTTTGAATAAGCAATATGTTTATATGATATCAGTAGGTATACATTGTGATGTTTCACTCACCTGCCTTTACGTATCTGTTTTCCATTTCCCCCCCACCCTTTCTTGCCATCTTTTTTTTATAGTCAATGGAGCTTTTGATTTGGGTTTGAATTCACCACGTATTTTTAAATATACACGGTGCAGCCAGGTTCATTTATGAAATGTTAGAGGCTTGGATTATCTGGGGAGAGTAATGTCCAGACAAATATATTAAAATGACCAATGAAATTGTAATGGATCAAAGAGCACCATTATATTCCTTGTGATTTTTGAAACCCACATGCATGTTTGTACTAAATGAAATGCTTTTACTAAGCATTTGTTTATTTAATCCAGAAATCTTTTGAGTATGCTAGGCAGTGGGGATACAAAACTGAGTAAGCAAGCATTCTTGAGGAGATAAACAAGAAGTTAGGTTTAGCAATGATACATTTTGCTAGGGGTAAGTGGGATTTTACTAGGGGCAAGTGGAGTGGGAAGAACACAGGGGAGAGCATTACCCAGCTACTAGTCAAAATGAGTTGTACTGTGAGTAATAAAGAAAAAGATGATAAAATGGCAAGATTATATGTTTGTTTTATCCTTAAGATGGCACTATAAACTCACAATTCCTTCACAGAAAAAGAATACATAAAAATCACCATGATTTATCTGAAATTTCACTGAAACTTTATAAACTAGAATGGCTTGTGTGTGTCTGAGACTGTTATAGGTGCTCATATTATTCTCATTTAATCTTTGCAGCAACCCTAAGAAGCAGGAATAAGTCTTTGCCCCATTTTGCAGACTAAGAAAAGGAGTGGGAGTGGGTGTAAGTGACTTGCCTTCAGTCACATAGCTTGTAAGTGGCAGACCCGAGATTTAAAAGGACAGTGTAAATCCAGAAGCAGTGTCCTTAATCACTGTGCTGTATTACCTCTCTATAGTAATCCATATGTTGAAAATCCAGTGTCATTAAAATTATTAGTTACAGAAACTCAGTTTTTTGTGTTTGTTTGTTTTTTTTTTTTTCCCCAGTTCTGGTTAAATCACACAAGGAAACATTGCCCTGGCATGAGACCAAGAAGTCACAGAGCCCAGGTCTTCCAGAGTGTGAAAGAAGACATGAAGGCATCAGGGACACTGTGCAAGTGGGTGCTGTTGGTTTCCACTGCTCTCTCCAGACTGCAGCCAGGAGGCTGCCTCTGCCCTGCCAGGTCAGATGCCCCCCGGAGGCCCTCCCATAGCACCCTGGGCTTATGGCCATTTTGTATTTAGCACTCCAAACAGTGTTTACTGGTTTATCTCTCTCTCTTCCTCACTAATCTGTGGGCATTTTTGTAACCTCCATGCTCAGTACAATGCCTGGAGCATAGAGTTCTCTAGAAATCTTTGTTGAACCTTTTCTTCCTCCATATTAAACCAAACCCTGCATCACAGGCACTATTTTCTCAGTATTCAGTTCTTCACTCCCTTCTATACACAAATAATCTCCATCCTAGACAGGAAATTATAGAAGAGAAGGCAATCTGTGTGAGAAAGCAATTTCCATTTGAAGCACTTGTATGTTTAGGTGCTGCTGAGAATTGGAATAAAAGCCAACACTGGGCTTAAATTGTTAAGCAGTATCTATTAGCTAGCATTTCTTCTCCCTGGGCATTTCTAAATCTGAGAAACCTATACTGTGCTTACTATCCTTTCCATGTATTCATCCAGGTGAAATATAGTTAACACGAAGGTGAAATATAGTTGAAATGAATGCCAAGGGCAACCTGGAAAGGGAAAAGAAGCATCAAACAATTGAATTTTGTCAAAGGAGCATAAATGAGGAAAGGTGAGTTAAGCAGCTCACTATCCACCTCCTTTTTTTCTCTTAGATTAACTTCAGGTTGTTTCTCAGCAACAACTGGTAATAATTACCTCCTTTTCTGCCCCAAGCCAATATCTGGTACCCCAACCCCCACCTCTTTTCCCCCAATTTCCAAAGTTGGCATCTCTAGTAGGATTCCTGGTTTAGCAACCTTAGAAGCAATTTTGGTAGCCAATAAATCCTCTTGAAAGAGGGAAACTTAGAATCTTTGCCTAGAGTGTAAATTGACATTGAGGATGGAGCTGGTAGGAGAGCTATCACGTTCAGGAGGCGACCTTGTAAGGATAAGAACACAGATGTGGCAGCGAAACAGATTCTTTGAAAAATGTCTGAAAATAGTATTCAACACGTTAGCTGTGATTATTACTATGGATTTATGTCACCAGCAAGGAGGCTGTTGAATGACTTTATTTACTCACTACATATTATAACCCCCTTACTAGGTAGCAGATACTGTGTTGAGTCTTGAAGATACAATCTTCACTCCTTAATTCAGCAAATGTAACTGTAGCTCTGGACAAAAACAATGCTTTGGAGGAATTATGCCTGGCCTAGTATGCAGCTGAGTAGGTCAACATCTTGAAATCTTCCTTCCCCGATGTTTCAGCTCTGTTTAGGAATTTCCTTCACTATAGGCAATTAATCATAAATAGAATTTGATTTGCAAAATTTTATTATAAAATTTTATTTTCTCCATAAACCTCAGGATATGTATCTTGTGTAGCTGAGAATTTTTTGTTTTCTTTGCATTCAGAAAGATAAAGCTCTTAACAGATTAATTTATGAGTTTGGACACTCTTGAGTGGGAAACCCTCCCAACTTCAGGGAAACAATGGACTTTTGGCTACACAAAGTAGTTAAGAGGTATGAGCCTTTGAATCAGACCAGACTCTTAAATTCCTCCGTTTAACAGATACAAAATCGTGAGTAATTTCTTCACTCTTTTGAGACTCTGTTTCCTTATCTGTGAAAGAGCTAAAATATTTCCATCTTACCGAAGCAGGAAAGACATTCATTCAAGTATTTTTTTGTTGCACACTTACTATTCCAGACACTTTCTAGGTACTGAGAATACCAAAGTAAACAAAACAGCAAGAAATCTTGTACTCTGTTAGGATATGAGTTTACATTCTAATGAGATAAAAAATTGAGATTATGTGAAATAAAGCATGCTATAAAAATTATTGTATCCGTGGAGAAAAGGAAAATTAAGAGAAAAAAGTAATAATTATTGTATTAATGTATAGAGTGCTTATGTCACTAATAAAAGACTTAAGCATTTTGTTGTGGCAGAGTAGAGATTCAAATTAGAATCTGTAGTTATGTAGTGAAGATACTCTGATGAAGACAAATAATGTAGAAATGAGTTAATTGCTAGTGAAAAGATTTTCAAATTATTTTTATTAGGTAATTTTATAATTTCATAATAGCTGTTAGGATACACAAACATATATATACAATTTTCTAAATAAGTAAATAAAAAGCAGTTTAGTATATCTGCCTGAATGTGTAGTATTCAAAATCTTACCAAAACATTTATTATAAAAATCAGTAAAATTGTTTAACACATTTATAAAAATTGCTGGGTATGTATACATAAACATTTTAAGCTTGCTTTACAAAAAAGAGTTCAATTTCTATTCATGTGCGCATAGTGACTTCAAAGGTAGTTCAAAGGGGGAATAAAGAAGGTAGCATTGCCTTGTAATACATCATTAATTAATACTGACTTACCTTTGGACATTCATGAAAAATCCTTTGTTATCACATATGGTGAAAATATTAAAAATTAATACTCCATTTCTATGAATAAAACATAGAAAAGACTTTATTTTTCCAGACTAACTCATTAGCATGAAAGACTGCATTCATTCTGCAGATATTACTGACACCCCATATTATTTACTTTAAAAATATTTACGATACTTAAAATTCAAAAGGAAACCCGCAAGACCTATTTTTCTCCCAATACATTCACTGAATGCAGATTTAAATGAGCGCATCTCATTTTGATTGTGCCCTTTGTGTACTTTAAAATGACTACAATATAGTACATTTGTATTTTTAACTGGTACCAAAATTAAGATGAATGATCTATGCAAAACCAGTAGCCTGTATTTCTAGTAACAGTTGTCATATGCAAAAAGAAAAAGCCCTGAGTCAGTATGTTTTTGCAAAAGTAATGAAGGAGGGTGCTCTAAAGTCATTTTATAACTTATAAAATTGTTAAGACTGTCCAGTATTCATTTGCTTTGTTTTCATTTTGATTGAAGAGGTATGATTTTCGTCTAGTTAATCCAATTCAGATCATTTCTTAATACTCAATTTCATTTAAGTCCTCAGAATGTCCTGATGATTGTTGAGTTGTATCTTCCATTTCTGTCAGGAAAGACAAATATACAATAACAGTATTTATTATAGAAAAACATTTAATTTGTATTCTTGTAGTTTGAAACAGTATCGCAAAGTCCATTTTCACTCAAGCTTATATAATTGGGATAAATATTACCTCCACAGGGTCCTGCCTGAAACTTAACGTCATCAATGGCGATATCACTTCTTATCGATACTCCTCGAATGGCTTCAAAAATAATCTGAAAGAATAATATGTTTGAATTTAGAAATAGAATCATCCTGATAATACAGTGCTGGTCAGGGCAAATCCAGGCTTTGTAGATATGAAAACTTAGATTGCTCTTGAGGATCCCTTTAAGGAAAAGGATACCAAATTACAAATTGAAATCTAGAGATTAAAGATAATATTTATTTGGAATTTAAAGAAACAATAAATTACTGAAGCCTTGAAGATTCAGGTCCCTGTCTTCTGAGATCTCTTTACCAATTTCCCAGAAATCCTTGCCTAGAAATGCTTCCTGGTGGTAACCTGGTTTCCTCTTCCCAGTTGGAACACTCTGCTCCCAGCATCCCCCAGCACTCACAAAGGGTCTGTGAAAGTGAGGTGCTCAGAAACTTAAATTTCCCATAGCACTCCATAAATCTACGTCTGATACTGCTACTAGGTGGAAACATTTAATATGACTGATGATACCCATGTGTGAACAGAAAAGTATAATAATGAAGTTTACCAAAGATAAGGGTTCACTTATGTTAAATATCACAACATCAAAGACACAGCTCAGGCAGAGGAGAGAATCCGTTTTATAACTTTAGATTCTGAGAAGAAAATAACTGATCAGATATTGTGGTTGTAGGAAAAATAGATTACTTAACCAGCTCTAAGGCTGTCCCAGCAATGGTTAATAAATTACTGAATGGTCCACGGAGGCCCATGGGTAATGAAAGTTGTTCAGAAGACGCATTTGCTCTATTCATTTTATAAGCAAATGAGTCTTCCTTGGAGTAGTGTATAATTTAAATTAAATTTTTAAAAGCCCATAAATTTTATTTAAACCCTCCCTAAAATTAAAACAAAGAACATAAATTAATTAATACATTTATAAAGTTACTTGAAATTAATGTTTCAAAGAAGCTTTAATGACAGACTAGTGGCAAAATACTGTTAATAAAAATTCTTTTTTTTTTCTTTTTATTATACTTTAAGTTCTAGGGTACATGTGCACAACGTGCAGGTTTGTTACATATGCATACATATGCCATGTTGGTGTGCTGCACCCATTAACTCATCATTTACATTAGGTATATCTCCTAATGCTATCCCTCCCCCCGCCCCCACAATAGGACTCGGTGTGTGATGTTCCACTTCCTGTGTCCAAGTGATCTCATTGTTCAGTTCTCACCTATGAGTGAGAACATGCGGTGTTTGGTTTTCTGTTCTTGCGATAGTTTGCTGAGAATGATGGTTTCCAGCTGCATCCATGTCCCTACAAAGGACACGAACTCATCCTTTTTTATGGCTGCATAGTATTCCATGGTGTATATGTGCCACATTTTCTTAATCCAGTCTGTCACGGATGGACATTTGGGTTGATTCCAAGGCTTTGCTATTGTGAATAGTGCCACAATAAACATACATGTGCATGTGTCTTTATAGCAGCATGACTTATAATTCTTTGGGTATATCCCCAGTAATGGGATGGCTGGGTCAAATGGTATTTCTAGTTCTAGATCCTTGAGGAATCGCCACACTGTGTTCCACAATGGTTGAACTAGTTTACAGTTCCACCAACAGTGTAAAAGTGTTCCTATTTCTCCACATCCTCTCCAGCAGCTGTTGTTTCCTGATTTTTTAATGATTGCCATTCTAACTGGTGTGAGATGGTATCTCATTGTGGTTTTGATTTGCATTTCTCTGATGGCAAGTGATGACAAGTATTTTTTCATGTGTCTGTTGGCTGTATGAATGTCTTCTTTTGAGAAGTGTCTGTTCATATCCTTTGCCCACTTTTTGATGGTGGTGTTTGTTTTTTTCTTGGAAATTTGTTTGACTTCTTTATAGGTTCTGGATATTAGCCCTTTGTCAGATAGGTAGATTGCAAAAATTTTCTCCCATTCTGTAGGTTGCCTGTTCACTCTGATGGTGGTTTCTTTTGCTATGCAGAAGCTCTTTAGTTTAATTAGATCCCATTTGTCAATTTTGGCTTTTGTGGCTGTTGCTTTTGGTGTTTTAGACATGAATTCCTTGCCCATGCCTATGTCCTGAATGGTATTACCTAGGTTTTCTTCTAGGGTTTTTATGGTTTTAGGTCTAACATTTAAGTCTCTAATCCATCTTGAATTAATTTTTGTATAAGGAGTAAGGAAAGCATCCAGTTTCAGCTTTCTACTTATGGCTAGCCAATTTTCCCAGCACCATTTATTAAATAGGGAATCCTTCCCCCATTTCTTGTTTTTGTCAGGTTTGTCAAAATTCAGATGGTTGTAGATGTGCGATATTATTTCTGAGGGCTCTGTTCTGTTCCATTGGTCTATATCTCTGCTTTGGTACCAGTACCATGCTGTTTTGGTTACTGTAGACTTGTAGTATAGTTTGAAGTCAGGTAGCA